GATATTGATAAGTTGCGGAGCTGCGCTGAGAAGTGGCAGATGGAGTTGAACCCTGAAAATTGTGAGGTGATTCATTTTGGAAGGACAAACTTGAAAGCAGAATACAGGGTTAACGGAAAGATTCTTGGCAGTGTGGAGGAGCAGAGGGATGTTGGGGTTCATGTCCACAGTTCCCTGAAAGCTGCCACCCAGGTGGATAGAGTTGTTAAGAAGGTGTATGGTGTGTTAGCTTTGATTAATAGAGGGATTGAGTTCAAGATCCGTCAAGTTATGCTCCAGCTATACAAAACCCTGGTTCGTCCACGTTCGGATATTGAGTCCAGTTCTGATCGCCTCATTACAGGGAAGATAGGGAAGCATTGGAAAAGGTGCAGAGGAGATTTAACAGGATGTTGCCTGGAATGGAAGGAAGGTATTACGAGGAAAGGTGGAGAGAGCTAAGGCTTTTCTCTTTAGAACGACGTAGGAAGTGAGGTGACTTGATAAAAGTGTACAAAATGATCAGAGTTATAGATAGAGTAGACAGCCAGCGACTTTTTCTTGGGATGGAGTTAGCTGTTGCAAGGGGACATAGTTTTAAAATGAGTGGAGGTATATTTCGGGGAAACGATAGAGGTAGGTTCTTTTCTCAGAGAGTAGGAGGGATGTGGAATGCATTGCCGGAGAGGGTAGTGGAGTCGGCCTCATTAGGGTCATTTAAGCGGCTATTAGATAGGCATATGGATGATAGTAATAGGTCGGGGTGGACCTTAGGATTAGGGTAAAAGTTCAGAACAACATTGTGTGCTGAAGGGCCTGTACTATGCTGTACTGTTCTATGTTCTGTGTTCTAAACTTCCTCAGAGAGCAACTTCCAAACCCACCACCACTTCCATCTGGATGGGCTACCGATGCATTAGAACAACATTCCCACTTCCTTAAGGGTAACGAGGGAAGGGCAATAAATCCTGATCCAGGCCATGACACACACACGAAATGAATGAGTGAAAACAAAGCACATGCTGAGGGACATTCCTGACAGCTACAGTGAGGGTTTTGATGAAATGCATGTCCCAATTTTCCCTAATGTATCGCGATGGTGTGAATGGGATTTGGAGAAATGGGTCCCTGGTGAAGGAGTTCGAGCCAGAGCAAAGTTCAGGAAGATTCCGTCACATTTCCCCTGTCCTCGGGGTGTGGGGGAGGTGGGTGGGATTGGGACAGAGGGATGATTTGCTGCTGTGTCCCTATATCTCCCACAAGTTCTGCTTGTGTTTCTCTGCTCCCAGGTAAACGGCGAGACGGTCAATTTGCCGGTGAGTTTAGAATCCGGGAACATCCGGCTTTTCCAGAGCGGATCAGCGGCGGTGCTGGAGACGGTGTTTGGTCTCCGAGTCTCCTACGACTGGAGCCATTACGCAGTGGTGATGGTTCCCAGTCTGTATTCGGGTTCTCTGTGCGGACTGTGTGGAAACTTCAACGGAGACGCGGCTGACGATTTTGTGTCTCCAAACGGCACGGCGCTGCCTACAGCAGCAGCGTTCGGGAACAGCTGGAAAATCTCCGATCCCGAGGCTGTGTGCACGGACGATCCGGACTCTCAGGGCCCATTGTGCAGTGACAGCTTCCGCCGTCTCTTCAGCTCGGAAAGTTACTGCGGAATTCTGAGCAACGCCAGCGGGCCATTCCGCCGATGCCATTCGGTGCTGAACCCAAGCACTTCCTGGGAAAACTGCATCTTTGATCTGTGCGCCATGGGAGCGAGCAGTGATCTGCTGTGTCAGGCAATTGGAACGTACACAGCAGAGTGTCAGAGACTGGGAGTGACGACCAGAGATTGGAGAAATGTAACCGGCTGCGGTAAGGGACAATGTTGTCTTTGGGAACCGTCGGATCCTGCTTCAAGTAACGATCAGTTCATGCTCCTGGTCACTGCCATTGGCTGTTTCCATGGGGACAGAGGAGTGAGGGCTGGGAGGAAGTGGCCACTCGGCCCCTCGACAGGGAGTAGGCTCACGGCTGATCTGATTACTCCACGTTCCTGCTACCACAATTCACAATAAATTTTCACTCCCTTCTGTATCAGGCACCTCACCCACTCTCCCTTCAAATATTCAGTAGCTCTGCTCCCCGAGAGTTGTGAACACAGCCCAGTCCTTCACACATTCCAACCTTCCATCCATTGACTCCATCTACAATTGTTGCTACCTCAGAAAGGCAGCTAACATCATCAAAGACATTTCCCATCCGGGTTCTAATCGCTTCCAAACTCATCCATCAGGCAGAAGGTACAAAACCTTAAACACACGTTCCAACAGATTGAAGAGCAGCTTCTTCCCAGCTGGCAGTAGAACGCTGAGCGGACCTCTCTAGTGTTCCATTAATTGTTGATGTCGCTGTTTGTGCTCCTTCTCTGCAGTTATAACATTGTGCTCCTTGCTCTGCTCTATCACCCTAATGCACTTTGTCCAGTCTGATCTGACTGTGCTGCACGCAACACAAAACATGTCATTGTACATTGGTACATGTGACAGTGATAAATCAAATCAATTGAAAACAAAAATTAAAGTAGAGAAAGTAAACATCTTGCAAGCTTGTAAAAGATGAATTGATATCTGTTTCAGAGATAGTAGGAAGTGCAGATGCCCGAAACGTCAGCCTTCCTGCTCCTCTGATGCTGCTTGGCCTGCTGTGTTCATCCAGCTCTACACCTTGTTATCTCTAGCATTGATATCTGTTCGGTGTTTCGTGTTGGCCAGCCAATTACCAATCTTTTCCAATATGTTAGCCAATCCACTGTCAGCTTTACTTTCCCTCAGCAATCTGTGTTGTGACTGTCTATCGAACACCTTCTGGAAATCTCAGTACAGGAACACAGTCAGAGATGTGTGGTAGGCAGCAGTGACCAGCCAGAATCGAGCAGTGTTACATTATGGAGCCTGTATATTCTGCTGCGTCCATCCCACACCATTCTGTCGGGCCAATACTGTAAGGATTGTTTCTGTATGCAACGGCAGAGTGAAACAGAACAGAGCAATGGTTTCACACACAGACACTGCGGGGGAAAGATTTCCCTTTTGGATCACACACCGTACTTTCCGTTAACACTGTGTCATTGTGTCTTTCAGAGATCCCATGCCCACTGCACAGTCACTACGAGCCCTGCAGTACCGCCTGCTCGGCCAGTTGTGCCGATCCTACGGCGCCGTTGTTTTGCGACCAGCCGTGCGTGGAAAGCTGTGTGTGTGACGAGGGCTACATCCTGAGCGGAGGTGTGTGCATGGCTCTCGATCAGTGCGGCTGCTCCTTCCAAGGCCGCTACTACAGCAAAGGTGAAAGTGTCATCCTGACCGAGAACTGCAGTCAGAAATGTAGCTGCCACAACGCCAGTGTCGGCATGAGCTGTGCTGCTTTCAGCTGTAGGCTCCATGAAGACTGTCGCCTGGTGAACGGGGTACGGGGCTGCTACCCCAGAGCACGTGGCACCTGCCAAGCCTCCGGCGACCCACATTACACCAGCTTTGACGGCAAGAGATTTGATTTCCAAGGCTCTTGTAAATACACCTTCAGTAAGACGTGCGGAGTGACTGGAAACCTGACGGTGTTCAGCGTTGATGTGGAGAACGATCATCGCGGATCCCAGGCTGTGTCCTGGACACGTCTCGTTGAGGTTCAGGTGTATGGCCATCGGATCCAGGTGTCGAGGGGGCAAACGGGCAGGATGCAGGTAAATACAATTGGAAATGCATAAAGACAGGGGCGACAAGAGCAGGTCAGTGGCAGGGAATCCCGTAGGCAGTAACTCACCTCCTGACTCCCCAAAGCCTGTCCACCATCAACAAGGCACAAGTCAGGAGTGTGATGGAATATTCCCCACTTGCCTGAATGAGTGCATTTCCGAAATCATTCAACAGGCCCAACACCATCCAGGATAAAGCAATCCTCATTTAATTAGCACCACATCCTTAAATACCAGCAACACTGACCACCAACACTTGGTAGCAGCATTGTGTACACTCTGCAAGATGCACTTCAGAAATTCCCAGAAATTCAGGAGGCATTGGATCGGGGGAAATGTGGCAGACTGGATTCAGAATTGGCTGCCCCTTCGAAGACAAAGTGTGGTAATGGACGGAAAATATTCAACATGGTGCTCAGTTATGAGTGATGTAACACAAGGATCTGTTCTGGGTCCTCTTCTATTTGTGATTTTTGTAAATGATTTGGATGTAGGAGTGGAAGGGTGGATTAGTAAGTTTGTGGATGATACGAAGGTGGGTCAAGTTGTGGGCAGTGCGGAGGGCTGTTCTACGTTACAAAGGGATATTGATAAGTTGCGGAGCTGCGCTGAGAAGTGGCAGATGGAGTTGAACCCTGAAAATTGTGAGGTGATTCATTTTGGAAGGACAAACTTGAAAGCAGAATACAGGGTTAACGGAAAGATTCTTGGCAGTGTGGAGGAGCAGAGGGATGTTGGGGTTC